ACCTGTTGCCTGCCACTTCAATGCACCACTCTGCTCCCTGGCCAACATCTCTGTCTCTGGCTTGCTGCAGTGTTTCAGCGAAGCCCAATGCAAGCTGGAGGAACAACATCTCATTTTCCGCTTGGGGACCCTACAGCCCTCTGGACTCAATATTGAGTTCAATAATTTCTGGGCCTAAACTCTCCCATGTCCCAGCCCCCCACCCCACACACCAGGCCTTGTTACCACATAGCCCGCCATTACACACCCACTGTTGTTCGTCACTAACAGTCCCCATTAACAAATATTCACCCTCCCAGCCTGATCGTTAGCAACTCCTTTGTCTGCCAAACTGGCTTTCTCTCTCTCTGGTCTCTATCCTATCATTTACTCCCTACCCCACCCCCTCCCTATTTTCTGCACCTAAACTGACGTTTTCCCAGCCACCATCAGTTTTGAGGAAGGGTCACCGGACCCGAAACGTTAAGTCTGTTTTCTCCTTCACAGATGCTGCCAGACCTGCTGAGCTTTTCCAGCAACTTTATTTTTGTTCCTGATTTACAGCATCCGCAGTTCTTTTGGTTTTTATTGGGAAGAAATGAGAGCTGGTTCTCAATTTGAAGCTCTTAAAGTCAATATTAAGTCCAGAAGGCTGTAATGTGCCTAGTCTGAAGATGAGATGTTGTTCCTCCAGTTTGCACTGTGATTCACTGGAACACTGCAGCATGCCAAGACACACATTTGGGCATGTGAGAGGATGCTGTGTTAAATTGACCGGCTACAAGAAGGATCCACCAGACCCATCGTGACCCTGTGGAACTGCCTTTGCTGCTGACCCATAACCCTCCAAACCTTTCCTGTTCATGTAGTTATCCAAATACTTTTAAACTGTACCCACATCCATCACTTCCTCAGGAAGGTCATTCTATAAGCAAACCACCTTCTGTGTGAAAGAATTTGCTCCTCGTCTTTTTTAAATCTCTCTCCTCTCTCCTTAAAAAATGTGCTCACGAGTTTTGAAATCCCCCATCCTATGGAAAAGACAACTACAATAACTCCATCCTTATCTCTCAGTATTTTACAAACTTCTATCAGGTCACCTCTCAGCCTGCTATGCTCCAGAGGGAAAAAACATCCCAGCCTATCCAGCCTTTCTTTGTAACTCCAACCTTCCTAACCTGGCAACATCCATGGGAGGATGGTGGCCTAGTGGTATTATCGGTGGACTGTTAATTCAGGAACCTGGGTTCAAATTCTGCCACGGCAGATGGTGGAATTTGAATTCAAGAAATATGTGGAATTAAGAATCTAATGGTGACCGTGAATCGATTGTTGATTGTCAGGAAAAACTCATCTGGTTCACTAATGTCCTTTTAAGGAAGGAAACTGCCATCTTTACCTGGTCTGGGCTGCACTCCAGACCCACAGCAATGTGGTTGACTCTTAACTGCCCTCAAGGTAATAAACATTGCCTAGCCTGTGAATGAATAAAGAAAAAAAACTCTTCCGCATCCTTGCTGTTGTTCTGCTATTCTCACATTCCGATCACTTAACCTGAGCTATCAACATCTTTTCCTCCCCAGCATTCCACCACCCCACCCCCCAACTATAGCATAAATGCCGTCCGGTCCACACTTCACTTCAGCTCTGAAGATTCATTTAGATTCGAAATGTTAGCTGCTTATTCATTCCTATTTAAACGTCATGATTGTATCAGCCTCCAGTGAAATTCTGGGCAGCGTGTCCCAGATTTAAACAACTGATTATGTAGAATATATATTTCCTCATGTTGCTTTTGGGTTTTTTTTTAATTCTTTCATGGGATTTGTTTGTTGCTGGCTGGGCCAGTATTTATTGCCTGTCGCTAACTGCCCTGGAGGAGGTGCTGGTCAGCTCTTCTATAAATCATCCTAAATCTCTGTGCTCTGATTTTTTGCCATTCTGCCAATCAGAACAGTTTCTCTTTAACTACCCTCCACAGATACTTCACAAATTTGAATTCTTTTATTAAGTTTCTTCTCAACCTTCTCTTCTCTATTAAAAAACACAGCCTAGCTTCTCCAGTCCATCCCAGTCCCTAATTCTATGGAACTATTCGCATAGATCTTCTAATATTTGAGGCATAAATAGTGCTGCAATCCAACACACATTGCCACCAACCCACAGAAACATTAAATATAAGGACATGCACTATCAGTCCAGAGTTGCCCTGCATGTTTTCAGACATTTTCCATGGACGTGGCAGACAGGGGGAAATTGATGACCCACTTTTCCAGGCAGTCTTGGAGGTCCTGTTGGATGGGGAGGTGCAGGCATGGGATGTTCTCTTCCCCCAGGGCCAGCAGGGGAGGCCATGGCTCCAGACCCTTCCCAGCCTGGTCCAGGTCAGAGTCTATCAGTGAAAGGCTGGAAAAGCACAGCAGGATAGACAGTATCAGTGGAGCAGGAAAGTCAATGTTTTGGGTTGAAACCCTTCATCAGGGTCAGTGCAATCTCTGCTGCCTGGAGGAATGCCCAACCCTGTAGGAAGTAACTCCACCAGGGTAAGGGCCACCATCTTCCCTCTGATACCTCATCCTCACTCTCTCTCTGCTACTGCACCCACCTCCCACCATGCCTCATTCTCTACCACGCTTATTGTTGCCTGCAACACCTTCCCTCAATCACACTCACCAACCCCAGTCTCCCACCACACTAACCCTACATGCTCTCTGCACTACCACTCACTCACTCAAGACAGCTCCCCCACTACACCAACAGCCATGCCACTCACTTTCATCTCCATTAAGACCTGTCTCTGTCTCATTCCAGGAGGGAAACAACGCTGATTGGGCAGAAAGAGTCAAGGTTGCTGGTGGGCTGCTCACTATTCAGCTTTTACAAGGACAGGATCCTAACCTGACAGTGACTGACTGACCATGGCTGCCCTTACTGCATGGGGACTCATTCCGCAAAAGCAATAGCACTTGACTTGACTGTGGACCTGCAACCAACCATGGCATGTTACATGCCTTTGTGTTTGCATTGAACAACACAGCAAGACAGCAGTAATAGAACCTGGTTTCACTGGCCGAAGGGACAAAAAATAAAGGCCAGGCAGGAAAGCTGTGAGCATGTGGGTAGGTTCAGAATGAGTGCGCACCATGACAGTAAATGAGGAACCCAGAGATCCAACCTGGTGCAGTCTCTGAGCTAGGGGAGTGGTGGGGGTGGGGGTGGGTGTGGGGGTGGGGGGTGTCCTTGAGCGTACAGTATCCTTGCTGCAGCATTAGGGGGACGCAATAGCCTAGTGGTATTATCGTTGGACTGTTAATCCAGAGACCCAGACACTGATCTGGGGACTCAGGTTCAAATCCCACCATGACAGATGTGGAATTTGAATTCAATAAATATCTAGAATTAAAAATCTAATGATGATCATGAATCCATTATCAATTGTTGGGGAAAAACCTGTCTGGTTCACTAATGCCCTTTAGGGAAGGAAACTGCCATCCTTACCTGGCCTACACATGACTCCAGACCCACAGCAATGTGGATGACTCTGAACTGCACTCTGCTCATTCCAACCATGAGTGTGTAGATATGGGATTAGTTTAGTTTGGGAAACCTGGTCGGCACGGATGAGTTGGGCTGAAGGGTCTGTTTCCGTGCTGTATGTCTCTATAACCATGACTCTATGACTTGGAGACAAGACAAAGCCTTGGTAACTGATTGGTTGGCCTCTTCTTTCCATTTCAGTTAAATATTTTCAGATCATCCTGGTTGAATTATGGATTTTTTTGGGCTCTGAGCAATGTGGGCTATGGCACAATCAGGCAATGTCTTGCAAGGTCCATCTCAATGTCAAGATTGTCTTGCTCCATATTTTCTGTGGTCTTGCAAGATTCCCATTGGGCAGTGGCACAATGCTGGTTGACAGGGATTAATATGCATTAAATGTCCTTGTTCATGCCACAATCAACTCATTAATATTCAGCCACCCATTTTACCAAATTTATTAAACAACAAAGACATTCTGAACACTTGACAAGGAAATCAGAGCAGGTACCTGGCAAATACAGTTCTCTGTTTTCTCCAGAAAGACTTCATGTTGGATACCAGGCACCAACATCTCAGGTCACACTCCCTGAGCAACAGACATACTCACACCCTACGTCCTTGGACAACATGTACCAGCCTGTAAGTACCATCATGACACATCTCCAATCCATTTACACTTCTGCTCTTTAATGCTGCCCTCAGGGTGCCCCGGTAACTCCCACTGTAATTCATTCACGGGATGAGAACTTTGCTGACCAGGCAGCATTTATTGCCCATTCCTAATTGCAGGAGTTTGAGAAATGGTCATGCTGCAGAAAGATACCCATTTCCAACCTCAATGTCCACATTAACACATTGGGACTTGTACAGAAACCACAACCAACAATGGGTCTGCAGACAAACCAATCTGAGACTCTTTCTCTGAACTAGTCCCATGGCTTCCAGATTTTTTTCCATTTCTGATGCCCTGTTCAACCCCAGATATAGTTATCTGATCAATGCTGAGTTGTACGTACTTTCACTTCCACTGTAATAACCCCTGGGAATTTTCCTGGAATCCTTGAGGCTATTCCAATGAAAATAGCAGCCACTAAGGAATAGGCAATTCCACCAGTTTTCATTGGAGTTCAGGTCATATCCCAAAGGAAAACATTCACTCTGCCATTCACTGACTCTAACAGTCAGTATAAAGATAACATTAACTGAGGGAGCAGAAAAGGGAATACAATTATTATTAAGACAGAAAATTAATTTCAACCCAGCTGATCTCAACACCCATTTCAGATTACTGGAATGATCAACTTATTTAATACACTTTGAGCTGGATTTTCAATTGTTTCAGGGTTGGGTTTGGGATTGAACACAGACATGTGACTGTTGACCATCTCCATCCCAACCTTGAGCCATTTCCAAAGAGGGTAGGTTGGATCTGGTTCATCAGGGCAACAGCAAGCAATGGACAGATGACTAGCACCGAGTGCTCACCGTTGTCTCCGGAGGTTGGGGGTCAATTCTTCACAGTTGGTCCCCTGGGGAGGGGGCGGAGTGTGATGGGGAGTTGCTCCTTTAGGTGTGTGATACAGCCGCTGTAGAATTTTAATCAATAGAAAAAAAACTGACAAAACTACTTCCCTCACCCATCACCACGCTCAGGTTAGCAGGTGCCATCTCAATAGTGGGTGCTGCGATTATTGAGTGTCACAGGACCATCCACATGATGAGATCTCCCACATACCCAGCCTGGTGATGTGCCTTTCCCTGGCCTTCACTGATGGAGGTTGTAATGAGCAGGACAGCAGCATTGTGCAGTTTTGAGAGCCAGGACTTCCCACTTTTCAGATTCCAGACCCCAAATGAAAAGCTAACTTCAAGTATTTGTACGTCAGCCAATCAGAAGCATTGATATGCAGTTCTGATACGTAAAACACTCAGGATATCATCAACATAATTGTGCAGCGTTAAAACAGTAGATTTTCACTAATAGGAGTGAATTGGATAAAGCAGAGTGTGTCAAATTATGCTGTTTCCTGAATATAGTTAAAAATCTTCTTCCACCAGAGGTGCAAGGTAAATCCATTTCCTTAATGAAATGGTTCAAATACTGAAGGACCTCATTATTCTATTTGAGAGAGGCTTTTTATTTCTTCCCAATATCGACACTAATTATGTGATAAATGACCAATTAGAGAACAGGATTCAAAGTCAGGTGCCAGGGGTGAATCCTTTTACACCTCTCAGCTGCTCATCAAGTCTCCCAAGCTCCACAGATACATCAGAAATTTACACAGTTCTAAATGATTCATGGATTCAGTTCATCGGCTTTAAGTAATTTGGGATTCATAGTTTCTAGGGAATGATATGGAGAAAACAAGTAACTCTGAATTCATATGTAATATGTGAACACAGCTTTAGGTAGATTGATATTTGTTAGAAACTTTAACAGTCTTATACAACTGTATGCATTCTTCATGGAAGCTGCCATCAAACCAGCAAATGAGTTTGAGGACAATGGGTGATCAGTGCTGTCTTTGTCAATGAAGATCAAAGCCCAAACTTCACTTGAAGGCAAGAGAATATGGATTGGACCCCAGTGATGGGAAAACTTTCAGATTCTGACCCCACATTGTGTTAAAATTGGGCATGCAAAATAATTTTCATGAGAAAGATCACTAATTGGCCAGACATTTGAGATTGCTATCCATTTAGAGCCACTGGATGAGGGGATGAGGTGGGATTTATACTGAGCGGACCCGGTTTAATTAGAAAACACTGGGGACATTGTACCCAGGAGCATAAGCTGAGTCTTGAGCAAAGAAGCTTACAAATATAACCATGCTGTAGAGGAGGCAACACTGAAGACCACAGCATCTCCTTGCATTGTTCCTCTGGGAGTGATGAAAGAGGGCAGTATCTCTCTTGACTTTGCAGGACAAGGTACATACAGTGCAGGAAACAGCAGTCTCATTCAGGTGTGACAGTGGCCCAGCTCACTATTCATTCCTCCATGGAGAAGGGACCATTGCAATGGCGAGGGTGGCATGACATTAAGACAAAATGGATTTTGCTACAGGCTTGTTAAAGGGTGTCTAAGTTTCTAAATGGTGAGTTAGTTATCACTCCTCCCCAGGTGATGTGTTGCCAATGCATCAACTGGAACAACATAATTCAGCTTTGCACAAACATCTTTCGAGGGTTCCTATATGCACCTTCGGATTCACCCAGGGCCAGCAGGACCACTGGGAAGGTTCTGACAGTGGCTGCAGGAGGGGCATTGTCCATGCAGTATGCACCATCACATCATTCATGCACCACCCTGTCTACAGCAGACAGACTGGGTCCTCAACGTGGCTGAGGACCAGCTGCCCAAGGTGGAGTGCACCACCCGCGTGAAGACAAGGTGGTGATGGGCAACTGGAGAATCAAGGGCAGAGCAGCTGAGCTGGATCATGATACAGAGCTTCAGGATTCCCAGAAAAGGCGGGTATTTCTGGACTAACAACGCATTCCACACAGGGTTCACAGTCATAGGCAGAGAGTAGAGGAGTTCATTCAGCAAGTATGCTGCGCAATGCTGTAGGGTTTGAGACCTTGGGTTACTCCATTATGGGAGTGGCCAGACTCATGTGAGTGTGTGCAAGAGTACTGGGTGACATGGATAGGGTGTAGGATGTGTTCTGTAGCATTAAGCAGCCAGTGGCACAACAAGCACAACACTGGAGTATTTACCGAGCTGTCAGAATTTAGTAGAACCTTGCTTAATGACTAACAATGAATGGGAAATGACACCTTGTTCTTCCACATCAAGAAGCAGCAACATTCAGAAAGAGTAGGATTTTATCCACTTGAAATATCAAATGTACAATTGCTCAGGAAATATTCATTTTATCAGCTGGTTGCTGTTCTTCAATTTAAATGTCTCAAAAGTGAGTCACTGAAATAGCGTCAGTCAAACATTTTTGAAATGGTCAAGGTTAGGTATTCATTTACAAGCTGTTTTTTTCATTATTGGAAGCGTAGACAATAATTTTCATTCTTCCAGATTAATGCAGATTTTTTAAACCATCTTAAGTGTAATCCACTCCACAGTTCACAGTGAAAATGAATTCTAGAGACTGCCTGCAGAATCAATATCATTCCCTAGGAACTGATGCCAAAGGATAATTGAAATAATTGCTGTAACAAGTTTCCCATTGGTAGCAAAAATCAAATATATTTGAACTCCTGTGAGATCTCTGATGGAGAATGGGTATATATATTTCCATTCTCATCAATGCTATATTATTATCCTGTTATTGTTCTTCTTTTCTGTGATGATTTTAAATTTCGTGTTGCTCTCAATATTTAAATATGCATCTGTGGCCAACTACATATTTGCTGGATTCCTTCAAAGAAAAACCCACCTGCAGAAATTGATCTGGATTTCAAATGGGTTATCAACATATGGCAAAATACACAGCAAAATGCAGAGAGGTTGGATCAATAGAGTGCAGAAATCAAGATGAAACGGGAAAGAGAAGAACATTCTGGAGCTCAACAAAGATTGTGTTTGATCAAATAATGACTGAGCAACACCACATTCCCACAACTGGGGAAAATGGGAAGCCAAGTAAATGAACAAGAAAATCCCAAAAGACGGCATGTTCCTGAAGGAGATAACACAGTGTGGAGCTGGAGGTACACAGCAGGCCAGACAGCATCAGAAGAGCAGGAAAGTTGACGTTTCAGGTCGGGACCCTTCTTCAGAAATGGGGGATGGGGAAGGGAGCTCTGAAATAAATAGAGAGGAAGGGTGGAGCTGGGGAAGGTAGGTGGGATGGTGAGAGGTGAGTGCAGGTAGGGAATGGTGGGGATTGGTCAGTGGAATGGGGGGGGGGGCGGATAGGTGGGAGAGAAGACGGACAGGTTGTGTCAGGTCAAGGAGGCAGGGATGAGAGGGAGAGTTGGTCATGGGATGAAACAATCTCTCCCAGAGCATGCAGACACAGTGAAACCACTGCAAGGAGAAGTTGTAAATACTACAGAAGCATCTGTTTAAGAAAGTTATAGGATTTGGGGAAGGCAAAGGGAATACTTTGTATGTTATGTCATCAGATTATATTTGGTTAAGTCACAAATTGGTGTTTTCTTGTGAGATTTTAGTCAATCTATATTTCATTCAATCTAGATAGTTTTGAATAATTGCAAAGGACATTGTCCTTGATCTTCCTTCTATGAACAACTTCATCAAGAAACCAAACAGAGTGAATGCTCCAGGATGCAGGAGAGTAATCCTGAGCCCCAGGTGAGTTCTCTGGGAACATGGGTTTGAATCCCACCCCAACAAGCAGTGAAACTGGAATTCGATAAAATCTGGAATGAAAAGCTGATCTAATGGTGGCTATGTAACCATTGTCAACTGTTATAAAACCTCATCTGGTTCATTAATGTCCTTTAGGGAAGGAAATCTGCCCTCCTTACCTAGTCTGACCTACATGTGACTCCAGACCCACTGCAATGCGAGTGACCCTTAACCACAGTCTGAAATGACCAAGCAAGCCTCTTAGATCAAGGAGCATTTAGGAATGGGCATCAAATGCTGGCCTTGCCAGTGATGCCTACATTCCGTGAAATAATGAAAGAACATTAAGGAGTGAACATAGAACATAGAACATTACAGCGCAGTACAGGCCCTTCGGCCCTCGATGTTGTGCCGACCTGTGAAACCAATCTGAAGCCCATCTAACCTAAACTATTCCATTATCATCCATATGTTTATCCAATGACCATTTAAATGCCCTTAAAGTTGGCGAGTCTACTACTTTTGCAGGCAGGGCATTCCACGCCCTTACTACTCTCTGAGTAAAGAACCGACCTCTGACATCTGTCCTATATCTATCACCCCTCAATTTAAAGCTAT